TATTTTTCTCCCAATATATTTAATATTTCACTAGATCTGCATGCATTCTAATGTATTGTAGTATTTCTGTAACAGCTCCCTTTTGTCAAATTAGCATTAGTTTGATATATGTAGAAGTAGAATTTTAGATTATGAGCAAACAATGTATTTCCAGTCATATGAATATTTAACTTCTTTTTTAAACCCCTCTCATAACCTAGCTAACGTTGAATTGAAGTTTTGTAGCATTCAGAGTTGTGGAGTTTGTATGCAGATTGGTTAAAACAGGGCAAGATATCAAAATGCTCGAACACTTGAGAAAAGAGGTATGTAAAGTGTTTCTTTTACAACAGTCAATATGACTTTATTAAAAACGTATTGCAATACCACATGCCCTTGAAATTAAATTAGTGTGTTTAACTCAACTAAATGTTGGTAGGGAAATTGGAATAGATTTGTCTAAAATTATGAGTAACAAATTGGATTGGATCATTCATCTCGACTTTCCCTGGGGAACCATAGTTTTCCCGCATGCTGTGTAAACAATTTATAAATTGAAATCCATAGAATTCTATATTAATTTTGTCCTCCCTCAATCTATGCTTCTTAGTTTACAGTTTCTTTCCTTCTTTATACAACAAAGTTTGCTAATAAATCACGGCTATAAGTCTTGCTTCAAGAAGGGGATCTTATCACAAGCAATTGCCATTTCTATCAAACTGATAGTCAATCAAGACTCCTTTTCCCCTTCTGTCCTTTTATAGTTTATTCGATAAGGTCTTCCATAACGACGACAAGAAATAAAGTACAAAAATAAGCTATCAATATTCTTTAAGTAATTATTAATGTTCTTAGGTAAGTGGCCTACTGTGATCGTGCTAGAAATAATAAAATGAGAATTATGAAGACAAGTTAATCATTTTGTCACTTTTCATTAAGTAATTCCTATAAGGCTTCAAGAAGGGGATCTTATCGCGACGTGGCGTGAAAAGGAAGTCATGTGTTCTAGCCGTGCAAAGTGCAAACAACATATTGCAGAAATGCAAAGTAAGGTTGTGAACAATAGACCTAATGTGTTCAGCCCTCTCTAGACCCCGCACATATAGTGGGAGGTTAGTGCACCGGATTACCTTATTTTTATATATATTGTTTCAAAATTTCTTCTCTGATCATGGGTTGTTTGGACATATAACCTTTTTTTTGTTAATTCAGATGCTATGTTCTAGCATCACTCTGGTGTGTTTGTCTGGCTCTTTCTCTAGGTTGGTATAAGTGTGTGTGCTTCTAGCTTGTAAAGTGTAAAATCAAAAGCTGATAATAGGGGAATCTTAGTAGTCCAGTTGGTTAGCTACTTGAATTTTCACCATGTTGGTGAGGGTTTGATTCCCCACCTTACAATACCCTCCCCCATTTCCCCTTTCCCTCCCGCTATGTACAATGAAAAAATTCCAAAAATAAAATGAAAATGATAACAATAACTATATAAGAGTTGTAACATTACCGAGATATGGTGTGTTTCTCACGTAGAAAGATGACCATCGTGTCGTTTCTTCTTGACTTATTAGTGATGATATCTTTTGACTCCCTCTTCAATTCAGTTCTAGGAATTGGGTCTTATGTGGACAACATATACTGAAGAAGATGAGTGAGTCTTAAGAATTGGTTTGTCAGTAGAAATCTAACGAAGCAAGAATCAAATGAGGGATTTTTTCAAATAAGAAAATAGCTGTACTAAAAATTGTTGCCACTGGTACTTTCAACTTGTGTGATTTCACATTCAGCAATCCATTTATGTCATGTGACTTCAGATTGAGATACTATTGGGAATTCCCTTTCCAGTAAGTCCAGTAGTACTCTTGTCACCTGATGCGTTTGGGTAGAGTAACGTATAAGGCATCTGTATAGGTCCTTTTCGGTTCTTCAATGTATTGCCGTTGTTCCTATCCATTATTCTGTTCTCGATTTCTACCAGTTTGTGACGGAATCCATCAAATGCATGTCGTGGTGGACTATCAGAAGTCCATTCAGGAGTATCTCTTTGTCCAAGATAAATCTCATCTGAAGAATGCATGGATAACATCTCTATCAAAGAGATGCCAAGAAGAGTTTGGAACTGGGCTGTGATGGTCTTTAGGTAGGCTCGCTCATGGTTTGACTCAAGCTCAACATACTCAGGAGTGCCTGGCATTGGCATAAAGCGCCGGCTTACGGTTGGGCGATTTGGGAGATAACCAGCATAAGGATATTGCCCAAAATTAACTGCTGCATGAAGAGCAGAAGCCACCCATATGATTATGGTGCATATTTGGACAAGCTCATCTCTTGTCTGCATCTGAGGCCACCATGGTTCATCTTTCAAGTCACCATGACCCACGTTGCGAACTTCTGTCCACCATGATTGAAGTTCAGAATCACCTTGGATCATGTCATCCGCTAAGTAATAGAATGAGCAATACTCGTCCACCCAGGTTTCAATTGCTGACCAAATCTCAAGTCCATCAACGGCGTAAGGATAATCCTCTATCAGAAGTCTAAGGCCATAAGGCTGGCTTGGGTCTGGCACTGCAACTCCTCTGAAATTTTAAAAATAATTGAGAGTATTACTTGGACAAGATGGATATGAAATTGAGTTTTAAGCTGTAACAACTAATGGCCTACCTCTTAAGTAGATCTGCAGGGAGTGCCTGCTCAGTGAACACCCAATTCTTATAGATGGAAGAAGACATTTCCATGGCATACTTGGATGGAAATACTGTCAACTCAAGTATTCCACCTGCACTAATGAGGATCTGCCGAGCCAAAGCATTGATGTTCATTGTATCGCGGAAGTGGGGATGTAGAAGTTTATAGATTGGATGAAGCACACTCAATTGTCTGTTTGCTGCTATGATAAATGGCTCTAATGCCGCATGGGTATTCAACCTGCAAAGTAGAGTAACAAAATTAATATAGCGTCTTCAAGAGATGACCTGCTTCTATAGTTTCCACCTTTTCATCTGCTTTGCTAAGTAGCTCACCAGTGACTGACGAGCTGATGATATCCAGAATCATTTACAGCAACATAGGCTTTAGCCAGATGCCAGACATAGCCTTCAGCACTCTCATCATTACATGGGGTAAATACTTGACTGCTGGAACCATGTTTATCTCCTTGTGGGTGCGGTAAGCTCAGTTCGATTGCAAGTGGCTTCAATGTTCCATCATCTTGGAGTAAAAGGAGGGTCCGACTAGCATAGATCTTATTGGTTGTTGAGTTAATCCGTTTAAGATAAGGCATAAGTCCATCATGATAATCTAAGATGAATAGCCTGTTATACTTAATTGCCTGTGACCACAAAAGATAAAAGTGTAAAATATATAGAATCTAAAATGGAGACAGATGATTAGTGTCCATATACAAAGGATGCCTTGGTTTTCTCTTCCTTTGTTTATGATAAATCACCAGAAAAAGAAATAAAGAATGAGTATTACATCATCCACAGTTAGTCCATCCATGTATTTCTCAATTTGGTCCCTTGTGATTTTACTGGTCTGGTCGCCATATACTTCAGGATCTAGCTTGCTTGTGGGCGGAAATTCCTGATAGGCATTTCGTGTTTTAGTAATTTGCGTTCAAAGAGTACAAAAGCACATAGAAAAGATAAAAGATTTGTAGTTGATATTACCTGTAGACGTTGGATAATCACAGGGTTGACTCCGGCCAGCATTTCACGTCCAAACTCTTCATCTGTCCTCCATGCAGAGTTATTATCTGTTGTTTTTTTCCCGAAAGGGTTCAAGATTAGTATTTGCTTTATCACCTTTCAGAGGCTAAACTAGTTGTGGGGACACAGAAAGAGAACACATAGTCACCTTTAATTACATGAGGAATTGGAAATTTATGAAGTTGTCCTTTGAGAAATTCCCATGGCATGCATTCCGTGGAGTTATCAGGAACTCGACCTTTATAGACTTTTAGTACATGTTTGAAGCTTTTAAACTCGTTAAAAGGTTTGGCTAAGAGAGTTGCAATCTGTGGAATTATGACCCGACCCATTGATTTGGCACCGTATCCAAGGAAATCTACAAATTTCACATGGTTGAAACGTTCATCTCGTGGAACATAAATGTTCAAACTCAGAAGTGGCAGCCTGCTCTCTAAGCTAGAATCTGTAACAGCAAACTTAACTCTATTAACATGTTCTGTTAGTGGTTCTAAGACAACACCTGTAAATAAGATGACATTAATGTGTTCGCAGCCTAACCTCTTTTAGTCAGTGGACGGCCTGTTCTTCCTCTTCGGGGGTATGGATAATCCTTGCCCCCACCAAGCACCGGTCGACCATGTCCTAAATCATTGTAGACTGCATAGTCGTAAACTCTGTCCCATTCCTTGAGTTTGCCAGAACCTGTACCCTGAAGATTAACAAGCTCCTCATTCCTGTATGGCCGAAGGGGTTCTGGTGTGTTGCATGGCAGGTATGTCTGATAACACCAAAAATTAGAGATTCAGTCTCTATCATGATCCATAGGTTTGAATTTAAATCCTGTACGCACTACTTGGTTAAGATTTAGTATGTCAATGTAGGTATAGATGTGAGATTAGAGAACTTCAACTAGTTTGGGATTGAGGAATAGTTGATTGATTGATATGACAGTCTGATTGTCATCTGTATAAAAATTATGAGTTTACATAGCCTTCTATCTTGTCATACTTTAGGACTGTCATCATAATCCTGTAAGTCAGGAAGTTCGGAACTATTTTGAAGAGGAACATATCTTATTTAAACTTGAAAATGTATATTTTTGTTTTTTGTTTTTCTGGAAATCATACAGTTAGGCTTAACCTATCAGTATGTATTTTTGCCTAGAAAATAGAAGTGCATCCTCAACCTTCGTGCTTTCTTCTGAAATTACGTGTAATAAGCTCTGCTAGTTCCTGTTGAGTTATTATTATGTTTTGCAGGCATCATATGGATTCCTGGAGTAAGGTTATGAAATATGGATACCTTGTTGCTAAAAAACACCCTATCGTACTTGTAACGATGTGCTGGATACACCCAAGAATTGCAGACGAAATGAACTTTGCCATGGCTAGGAATATCTTCTAAAGCGACGGTCTTCAGGTAAAACTGGCTATGATGATAGTTCTTTATAATGAAAGCACCAGGAACTCCTATTGACTCATCCCACTCAAATGTAATATTGAATGTAACTTCTTCCACTGATATCCAAGTCTTGCTGGATGTCCAGTCCAATATTGCTGGTTTTCCCACCTTCCCTTTTGATCCATTTCCTTTAAGAATGAAAAAACAAAATTGTGCTTCAATGTTACTGTACAGAATAACATACATTCTGCATTTATTGCATTAAGGCTTCCAAATTAATACGAACTACTTGATTTCAAACATATAAACGACTGAAGCGAAGGAATATATCTATTTGAGTATAAGAAAGGAACTATCTAGGTTTTCTTATGGTATTTTTGCTTCAAAATGGGAGAAAACCAGGGAAATAAAACCTTTAGATTTATTCTGCTGCATGCTTTCGCAAAATTTGTTGGTGAAAATGGAATAACCAGGCATTCAGAATTCAGGTACTGGAGGTTCGGGAGTTAAAAATTTTGAAACTGCAGAATAAGAGTTTGTACTAAAATGGCGCCGAAGGTTTAATGATTTTAACAATGAACTATTAACCGTTAAATATGGTAAGAATGAGGAGTGGTGCACTAACAGTGTAAGAGGTGTGTACGATGTATCTGTTTGGAAGCATATTAGGAGTCTTTGCTAAGAATTTTAGGACTGTGTTAGGTTTAAAGTTGGCAACAGAAGGAGACTGAAGATGCGGTCAGATAGGTGGCTGGATCACACTCCGTTAATGGAACTATTTCTAGATCTTTATGCAATCATCTCTGACAAGAAACTTAATGTGATTAATACTCCACAGGGAGATGAAAATTTCATTCAAAAGAAGGAACTTGCATGACCGGGAGATTGATTGCATAAATGAGTTAATTCAAATGCTGGAACCTGTCTCTCTTGATGATCAGGTGGCTGATTCGTTGTTGTCGAAGGTTGAGAATGATGGTACATTTTCTGTCAAGGTATGTTATAAAAGCCTCTTTAGGAAAATGGGTGGAGTCCATGACTGTTGGCCATGGAAGATAATCTGGAAATCTATTCTACCTCACTTGGATTGTCACTCATGAAGCTTGTTTAAACCATGACAATCTACAGAAAAGGGGTCTTACTATGTGCAGAAGATGTTTTCTATGTGAAGAGGCTAATGAATCAGTGAACCATCTTCTACTCCACTGCACTTTTTCCAGGAAAATTTGGTCAATGTTTTGGAGAATATTTGGAGGTCAATTGGTTATGCCAGGACGTACAAAACTTGCCTTATGCAGCTCGTTTGCACAGCTATTTTCTAGGGGCAGCAAGCACTATTGGAATGCAGTTCCATTCTGGAACACTTGATTAGAGAGAAATAATAGATGTTTTATTCTTAATGATAATCTAGATGCTGTAAGAGTCTTTATTTATGGTGTAGGAAGAATGTTGTATCTAACATAGTCTCTTCGTTGGATCTGTTGAATTCCTTCAACATATAGAAGGAAGACCTCTCTTCTGTTGTACACCTTCTTGGTACTCATTAATAAAATCTTAGCTTGTACACAAGTTTTCTCACCGTGAATGATAGCCATATATATGAATATGATATCTAACAAGTATAATAACTAACAAGTTTCTTTGCATCTCTTTGCTCAGCTCTAGGAGAAAGTGTAAATTACCAGGATCAGCACTAATGAGCTGTAGGATGACACGTTTGCCAAAGAGCTCGTGCATTCGATCAAGGAAAGCAGAACCAGCATCCTTGAAGTTCAAAACATTTTTCTTCCTCAATACAACTGTCCCCTTGATCTTAATGGAACTGGTTTGGTTGCTAGAATCGCTTTCTCTTGGAACATCATGCTGCTTCCCGCAAACCATTTCCAGCATTTTCTCCAGTACCTCTGTACAACATGGTGGAAAGATCCCCATTGAACAAAATGGAGATACAGAATAAGTCCTAAGGATATGTTTGAGTTGAAATAAAGGAAATATGTATGAGCTTTTATTGAAGCAACAAAGGTACTTTTCCTCTATTTATTAGTGCAACAACAGTAATAGACTTTTGTGTACTATTATAGTTGCAGTAGACTTGATCCTTCTTTATATTTATAGAAAAAATATATTCACAGAGCTATGAATGTGAAAAGGATGAAATATGTCCCAAAGTTTTAAAATATTCCCTCCATTGCCTACAATCAAGATCCGGTTAAAAAGCTTTCACTGTCTCCACATATGTTTAGTATTAGTATAGCACCAACTTCTAATATGCTACCATTTTTTAATTGCATGAACTTGTAACAGTGATATATTATATATTCCACAATACACTTTACATATTATTAGTTTTAAATATTAAAAGAAAAAAAGAATGAAAAGTTGCTAAAGTTAATGAAGAGCTGAAAGTTGTAGAATACTAGACTACTAGCACTTCTTAAAAAGGGAAGTGTGTTTTGTACTTACTTTAGTGCTGTTTTTTCTTGAAAACATTTTTTGTTAACCAACTACCACAAATGAGGAAATGACTTCCGCATGAAAACATCTCCTGAAAAATGATTTTAGGCATAATTTCGTTAGAAAATGATCTTCTCATGGAAAAACATTTTCGAAAAGTTTATTTCCGTAACTAATTTGGGTTATCATTTATATATTATTGTCTGTCCAACTTGGATTTATTTAGGCACCCATGAAGGATATAATAAAGGTGTGATCTTGACTAGTAATTTGTTGACCTGATCCCTCATTGGGCATCACTCTGGCACTTTAAGTTAATAATAATATAAAAGTATAGTATAAAACTTTTTCACATTGACTCGCAAGTAAATATTACTGTTCTTCTTGTCCAATAAAAGCTTGACAACAGAGCTATGAATGTGAAAAAGGATGAAACATATCCCAAAGCTTTAAATTATTCTACCCCATTATTAGCTTACAAATCAAGATCCGGTTAACAAGCCGATGATAAGCTCTCACTGTTTCTAGATAGGCTTAGTAATACAAAATAGTACAGCAGCCATTTCCAAAAATTCCACATAAGTCCTAACATGCTAGCAGTTTTTGATTGTATGAACTCTGTAGCAGGGAGCCACCAAAATACACATTAGATTATAAAAGTTGTAAATACTTCAAAAAAAAAAAAAAAAAAAAGAGGAAAGAGAAAGTTGTTGCAAAAGTGTTAAAATTAATGAAGAGATGAAAGTTTGTAGAGAAGTTAGAAGTAGCAGCCTCTAACTAGTAAGATTGCTTGAACTTGGCTAAACCGGCTCTAATTAACAGCTCCCAAAATTTTTATTTGAAAAGGCAAGTGTATTTGGTAGTTACTTTCATGTTGTTTTCCTTGAAAACATTTTTTGGTAACCAACTATGAGAAAAATGAGGAAATGACTTCCTCGTGAAAATGCCTTTTGAAAAATAATTTTGGTTACATTTTTATTTCTCATGAAAAAATATTTTAAAAATTATTTCATTAATTTGGATTAACAGGACTTGTGCTCAACCGATTTTCTTTTCGCTTTGCCATTATGAAAACTCTTGGAATTCTCAGCTGGGTAGGAAATTTTCATATTTTATTACAAAATCAATGATAAATGATAACTACTTCAGTGGAGATCTCAGTTAAAGTGTAAAAATATTGCAAGAATAGAGTCTTCACATGAATGAATTGTTTTTTTTAGGGTCCTAAGATTATGTAATTATAGCTTAATGAAATTTATAGAGATCTTTGAATGGTGACTAATGCCGATTGATTGTAATTTATATTGTTGAAAGATGACCACCAAATGAACCTGTCAGATCCTGCACATTTAGTGCAGACGTGTACGTAAATCAATACGTACCCAGTAAGTATCTAGCCTAACCCCGGAGAAGTAGTGACGAGAGGTCGACATCGACATTTACTAGGGGTCCAATAAAATAATATAATAAATTATAAACAGATATGCAACACAACAACAACCATGAGGTAAAAACTGTAACTCACATAATTTCCCAACATTTCTTTTAATGATATAAATCTCTCGAATTTCATATGCTATCTTGACAAATCGAAAATATCAAGTGCAATATCCAACGGATAAGGAATACCATATAAATGTCGGGTCTCAATCAAAGGAAAATCTCATGAATATTCAGACTCCTAGCGGTATCACGCACGATTATGTTGAGGTCGTACAACCCGATCCAGAGTGGTGTGTACACTGCCGAGGGTCGACCGACACGAACTAGAGATGCATCTCAATATACTGACGAGGCGTTCGATCCGATCCACAGGAAAGGAAGAAACTTATCAAATTACGGGTCATGTGTTTGCAACACAAGTGCAGGAGCATAAAGTAAACATGACTAGCATAAAGTAAACATAATTTTTACAGTCTATCAAATATCTCGTCAAATAACTCAAGGTGAAAAAGCTCGGCCTAACATATTCCTAATTAATTTCAATTTTATGTTCAAGTAATTAAGCTAGCAAATTGAGTTCAACTAAGTCAAATATTACATGATAAAGTCCTAAGTCTACCCGGGCATAAACATGCTTTTAGCTACGTATGGACTCTCGTCACCTCGTGCGTACGTAGTACCCATAACTAGTAGCATATAACAATGTAATACCTACGGGGTAGTTTTCCGCTCACAAGGCTAGACAAGAGACTTACCTTGCTCTAAAGTTCCATAACCGGCTCTAACGCCTCTCTAACACCTCAAACCGATGCCCTTCGATCTAAAACTAGTCAAACAACATGCAAACCAATCAAAATATACTTCAATACTCCTAATTTAACAATTTATAAAAATTCTTAACTCCGCTCGAAAAGTCAACAAAGCCAACCTTGGGGCTCACCTGCTCAGATACTGAAAATTTTCGAAGATAAACATTACCCATAACACCACGAACTCAAATATATAATTTATTTCTAATTTCATGTCCAATTTCGTGGTCAAAATCCGAAAATACAAAATTTTAGGTTTTCTTCCAAAAATCCTACAATTTCCATAACTTTTCATGTTTAATGTAACAACTCAGCCCACTAGTGATATTGTTCTCTTTAGGCCTAAGCCTGCACGATTTTAAAATATGTCACTAGGGTCTAAGGCATGCTTACTTATATACCCAACATCTCTCCCGTGTTTTATCGATGTGGAATTCGCCTAGGGTGTCACATTTAAATCCACATATAATCCCTGTATATAACTCACAATGTGTAGAACTTCCTTACCTTAAGATTGATGATGAATATGGCTCCTCCAAATCGCCCAAGCAAGAGAGAAATGAGTTGGAAATGAGAAAATTCCGACCTTGCAAGTTTATAATCTGCCCAGGCGCCCTTCTTCGCGAACACGACCTTACCCTCGCGTTCGCGAAGACAACCAACATCTGCTCCCAAATCTTTCTTCGCGATCACGATGACAGGCTGATGAACGCGATGTCTTACCAAGCCTGACCATCGTGAATGCGACCCCATCCTCACGAACGCATAGGGCAAGACTCCCAGGCCCAGCTTCTCTTACGCAAACGCGGCTAGGTCATCACAAACGTGGCGCGTTGAACAAAAGACCTCCAGCTTAGATCCTTCTTCGCGAATGCAACTTTCCCTCCGCGTTTGCAAAGCACAAAACCAGGACCAGCAATCCAGCAACAACAAATTATCCAAACTTGGTCCGAAACCATATGGAAACACACCCGAGGCTCCCAGGACCCCTTCCAATAACACTAACCAGTCCTAAGATATGATACGAACCCGTTCGAGGTCTCAAATCACACCAAATAACATCCAAACTATGAATCGATGTTCAAAATCCTTCTTTTAACTTTCAAACCTTCAAACATTGACGAACGTGTCTCATCCATATCTAAACATTCCGGAATGACGCCAAACTTTACGTACAAGTCACAAATCATAATACGAACCTATTCCAAGGCTCGAAATTATAAACAGACATCAATAACATCAAAGTCCACTTCAAATCAAACTTAAAAAATTTTAAAACCTTCAAAATGCTAACTTTCCATATTAAACGCCGAAATGTTTCCCGACCATCCGATACTCAACCCGAACATACGCCCAAGTCCAAAATCATCATGCAAACCTATTGGAACCTTCAAATCCCAATTCTGAGGTCGTTTACTTAAAATTCAAACCTTGGTCTTCCAACTTAAAGCTTTTGAATTGAGAATTTTCCTTCCGAATCAACTCCGCACTTCCCGAAATTCAATTCCGACCACATGTACAAGTCATAAAATATGAAATGAAGCTACTCAAGGCCTCAAACCGCCGAATGATATGGTAGAGCTCAAAATGACCGGTCGAGTCGTTACAGAAGTCTATCATGAAGTAGGATCAACAGAAAGGTCTTGAGCTTATTGGCACTTTTAGCTTCCAAATCCATTTAATGTTCTTATTGGGTCTAGCTGTGGAAGGAGTTGCTTGTGAACTAAGAAACAAATAGGCTGACTTAGTACTGAAAATGCCATTACTGGTTAGGCCCTAGTCATTTTATCTTCCTTACTTGCATTGTTTGGGATAAATATGGAGGTTATGATTTTCATGATGCTCTCTGGGACAATTATTGAG